TCGAAAAGATCAAGAACACATAGAGTTTACGGCCGTAAACTCATTGAGAAATGGTCAATGGGCCGTAAACTCTATAAAGTGGTGCCATTGTGCCACTAATGCTTCCTAAAGCTTAGACTTGAAGTAAGGATACTTCTTTATGACTTATAAGACCTCAAAACACAAAATAGTAGAAGTTACCATGGGCTTACGGCCGTAAACCCATTAGGACCGTAAACCCAAAACCGTAAACTCATGAAGAGTTTACGCTTGGACCATAAACTCAAAAGTAAAGCCCTACAACCCTTAGATGCAATCCTTGGTACTTATAGCACTTGAATCAAAGTGTTTTCCATGTTTTAGGGTGTCTTTACTTTATTAATTAGTTGTTAAATGACTAATTGGATACATATATGTGTTATTATATGTTAATTAGGATCTGTGTGTGTGTTCAGGTCTTCACTTGACACTTAGCATCCTATACGATCCGTTCATCCAAACCACTCACTACAGGTGAGTTCATACCCCCTTAATCAACCTTTTAAATGATTTTAAATGCTTTTATGGGGGGGGGATACAAGTTGAACTATTATAGTTATTATATCAATCACATGTGATTAATAACTACCAAACAAGTGGATTTCTTACTTTTCAAACTGTGTTATCAAACAAACTACTTCAAACTGTTTTACAAACTCTCTTTCATGTTAAATACTTTTATTAAACTCTTTTAAACTTATATTTTGTTAAATGTGTATCTATATAGATATAGTTATATAAGTAGGATTGAAAGGACTTAGGACTGATAGCTCACCTTACCTCCTGTTCCTTGTCTGGTTGTAGACTTAGGGAATCGGTTGTTTGTCCGAAGGTCGTTTGAATCCTAGTTATATATTATGTACATGTATATAGATATAAAAGTTCCTTCTTTCTATTCAATACCTTTGGGTAGCAAAGGTATACAAACATGTTCATACATACAAACAATATTACTAGTAAACTATAATAGGTATAGTTTAGGAAGTTACTAATACTATTACTAGAACAATGAAACATATAATGAGTCAGTTCATACATGAGTCAACACATACTATTATGAGAAACAGAGAAAACATACATACATACTAGACAGAGAGAGAACATACAATACAGCTTGTACATACTATACATTATACAAGAGAACATACTATTATGAGAAACAGAGAGAACATACATACATACTAGACAGAGAGAGAACATACAATACAGCTAGTACATACTATACATTATACAAGAGAACATACTATTATGAGAAACAGAGAGAACATACATACATACTAGACAGAGAGAGAACATACAATACAGCTAGTACATACTATACATTATACAAGAGAACATACTATTATGAGAAACAGAGAGAACATACATACATACTAGACAGAGAGAGAACATACAATACAGCTAGTACACACAATACATATATAAGAACACTACTACATTTATGTGAGCCATGTAATGTGGCATGGCATCACCTGTCATGGCTCGTTTTGTATCCAGAATCTGCTTAAGTGGAGAGCGTTGAGTTTGTGTATAGATCTATACTGGATTGACTATCCTACACCTTGCTGCTAGCTACAGTGGGACTTGCAAGTCTACGGGTGCCAAACGTCATTCCTTCCGACGTCTTTCATCGTCGTGTTTCTAGTCGGTAGTATGGTACAGGCATATCACATGGTACTTAAATAACAATTGGTTTAAGGTAGTTAGTATAGAAGTAGTTACTTAATACAACACTACAGTACTATTTTATTTCCCATTGCATTCACTTTGTGATCTTCACACTGAACAGTAATGTAAAAACTATATTTTTGGTTAATGATAGTCAGATTTGGGAAAATACATACTCTTACAAGAGATACACACACAAACACTTGATGCCTTGGTAAAAGGCTACTTTTAGTAGAAAAACATAGGGTTTTCTAGGAGATACAAACATTTACAAACTTACAAATCACATACTTACAAACACTTTCATACAAACAATGACACTAAAATACTTATGATCTCACCAGCTTTAAAGCTGATAAACTCTTTCAAAATAACTTGTATTCTCAGGTCACCGGTAGACAGGTACCGATGCCAGGTTTTGAGAAGATGGAGCTCGTTCAAGACTCATCTTTTATTTTGATTTATATTTTTGGTGTCTATTAAACACGAACACACTTGTATTTATTATTATTAATGCATGGATGATGTTGTTGCTTTGTTTACTACTATGCATTGTTGTGATACTGTACATGACATCCTCCACCCCCGAAATATTTCGTCGTTCCGGTTTTGGGGTGTGACACATTGGATGTAAGACCATGTGGGGTAGCCCATGGCAGTCCTAGGTAAAGACCATGTTGGGTAGCCTATAGCACTCTTACATGTTTTTATGTATGCATGGCTTATGTGATATGTGTGTAGCTTTAATTAGCTAACATGATATGTGTGTGTGTAGTGTGTAGTATGCTCTGGGGAACTCACTAAGCATTTCGCTTACAGGTTGTTGATTTGTTTCAGGTACATCTGAGCCCAAGGGCAAGGGTAAGGCGTGATGGTGCGGCGTGCACTCTATCTCTCTTTCACTGATATGTTTGGGGATACTCTGATGATTTAAATAAAGTTGTAATGAATGTTGTTTTATAAACAAATATGTTGGGATTTCATGGTTTATGCAAATCTGTTTTATTAATTAAAAATGAAAAAATTTCCTTGAAAATTTAGGTAGTTACAACATTCATATACTTCTTGAAGAACGAACTAACATTATGTTAAATAGTGAAATAGCTACCCTAATTCCTCTTAATATCCTCATACTTTACTAGAAGTTGACCATTTTGTCCTTAATATACCTAAAGTTCCCTAGGTTCCTATGTATTCTTGCTCTAGATTTAGCTAGCTTGTAGATTATATTCTCCACTAATTTGTATCCTATCTCTTATAGATTTCCTTCTAAGCTATGGACTTAGATATGACTACAACTTTCTATGCCTCAAGATTGGACTCATTATACATTTTTTTGCCATGTCTCTTTCTTCGTTCCTACTAGACCCTAAAAGCTCCATAAAGCGAGCATGTTTTTTCCTATCCTTTACTTGTACCACCTCTCTCTACCACTATGATTCAGTATGAACATTAGCATTCCCTAAAGACAACCCAAGGGTATATTTACCTACCACTTTCTCTGTTTTGGTCTTCAATTCTGAAACTGGTCTACACTCCTTGCATGAATATAATTAGCTTCTGTCTCTGCCAATATCATATCCCTAAAAGTCTCAACTATTTCCCTTTCTAAGTTTACATAATCCTTGGTCTGATAACTTTTCTTCCTCATCCAATGCTCATTTTCAAGAGGAAATTAATCGGCATCCAATTAGATGTGTTGTAAACCACAAGCATCACCCGATATTACCTTGTAATCCATGCATGTCCTTAGATCCCGTCTTCGTAAGGAAAAGGTAGTCGATTTGGGTGTTATACCCGCCTATTATAAAATGTAATCAATTGGTTAATTAGAGTGTATTTGGCAGCAAACTTTTGGGAGCTTTTAGCCTTTCACAAGAAGCTCGATATAAACAAACCGTTTTTGATTTTCATTACGTGCTTCTAGCTTTTAGTTTACACAAAAAAATTTAAATCTAAAAGTTACTACATGTAACGTTTGATAAAAAGCTATTGAGTTTTTTAAATCAACTTCTAGAATTTCCCTCAAAAATATATTTATATATTTATCTTTTTGAGTAAATTACTGAAATCGTCCCTATAGTTTGGTAAAAATTACACGTTTAGTCCCTAACCTTTTTTTGCACTCGGATAGTCCCTATGGTTTGATTTTATTGCGTTTTCCGTCCCTTGCATACATAAAGTTGGGTACCAAACGTGCAATTTTTATCAAACTACAGAGACGAAAAACGCAAAAAAATCAAACCACGGAGACGATCCGAGTGCAAAAAAAAGTTGGGGACTAAACGTGCGATTTTGACCGAACCATAGGGACGATTTTAGTAATTTACTCTATCTTTTTTATTCAATTGTATTTTTGAGTAATTTTACACATTTAAAAAGTTTTCAACTACCTTTGTCACACTCATATAACAAATAAAAACTACATCTTCCATCTTCATGAATTTTAATTTATGAAAAAGCTTTATAAAAAAGCCTTCCTATTATGTATGTATTTTGAGATTTTTATTTTGTTGATGTCGCATGGTCTTTTGTTGAGACGGCATGAAAAAACTTAGCAAAATTACGTTATTATTGTTGTTGCTCTAAAGACGATAAAAGCATTCTTTTCGACTGTTTTATGTTTCAATGAAGGACGTAATGTGATTCTTGAGCATAAGCCACAAAAGTTCTATTTGAGATAATAACTGAAAAAGTAGCTAATAATTAATAATAAAAAATAACATTTGATAAAGTAGATGATAAGGTAGCCGGAAAATGTAAAACGACATATAAAAGTATGTGGAAAAATATGAACGAATTCTAAAAACGCCCTATAACCTAGTTGAAAATTTACTCGGCCTAGCTTTTTAAAAAGTTAAAAAAATATCGAAAGATAAGTAGCTTATAAGGTAGCTAGTACGCCAAACCTAGCGTTACAAAAAAACGATGTCATATATAGTAGCGAAAAGCATCACCTATGTTATTTTGATGAAAACGCTAAAAACATTGGTCTTAAGTAATTATCATTTAATTTTGAAGATGATAAATTGCAATATTAGAAAAAACATAAACACGTGCATGGTTTATTTTTATATTAGTTTTATTGGTCCCATTTTGTGATAAATTATACGTAACATGAAAATAACGTGTACATGAGATCCAGACGTTCAAAGAAACAGACAAAAAGAGTATAGTTGTTATTTACTAATCTATAATATTATTTATAGTACGGTAGAAATTGAAGACAATATACAAATAGACAAATTATGTACCACAAACCTGCTCCTAGTTTTAAATTAGTATTCCAAATAATAATTGAAGATGCCATCTAGAATTTGAAAAACCAGACGAGCACATTTACATTTGCGTCTTCATAATCTGCATATAAAATAGCCAGATGTTATATATGTACTTGCTATCTTGAATTCAGAAAAAAATAGCAAGAAGGCTTCATGGGTTCTATACAAAAGAAACCACATGCCTTGTGCATACCAGCCCCAGCACAAGGCCATATTAACCCCATGCTAAAAGTTGCTAAAATTCTCCATTCCAAAGGCTTTCATATTACCTTCGTTAACACCGAGTTCAACCATCAACGACTCCTCAAATCTCAGGGCTCCGACGCCCTACATGGCCTCCCTTCCTTCTGCTTCGAGACCATTCCTGATGGCCTTCCGCCGGCCCAGAACCCTGATGAAACCCAAGTTTTCCCAACCTTATGGAAGTCCATGGATGAAACTTGTCTGGGTCCGTTTAAAAGTCTGCTTACCAAACTGAATGCTTCATCTTCACCGGTGACTTGCATAGTTGCAGACTTATTCATGGGCTTCACCCTCGATGCAGCCAAAGAACTTGATATCCCCGAGATAGTCCTATGGACCAGCGGTGTTGGTGCTCTAATGTGTGTTCATGAGCAGCACAATCTATTGGAGAGAGGTTTGGTGCCACGTGAAGGTAATATATATACTTAATTTCACTAATTTGTTAAGGATATGAAATACTTATATGTATACGTGTATACATACATACATTCATGTACGTATACACTGTAGTTGCTTATTTGAAAGTAATTTCTTTATGTTTTCTTTCCACAGCATCGAGTTTTTTAGCAAATGAGCATTTAGATACCATGATTGATTGTGTACCAACCATGTCGGGTATGCGTCTAAAACACTTGCCTTCATTCGTTAGAAAGACCAGCCCTGGTGATGAATACATGCTTGAAGGTTTGTGTTTACAAGCAGAGAGAGCAAAAAAAGCTTCTGCCATCATCTTCAACAGCTTTTATGAACTAGACAGCGACCTTTTGGATGCGCTTTCTTCAGTCTTTCCTCCGTGCTATGGTGTTGGTCCGTTTAAGTTACTAGAGAAGGAAATTGATGAATCAGTAGAGTTCATCAAATCAAATCTTTGGAAAGAAGAGAACACCTGTTTGAAATGGCTAGAATCTAAACCAAAATCATCGGTTATTTATGTGAATTTTGGTAGCACTACAGTGATGTCACATCAACATCTGCTTGAGTTTTGTTGGGGACTTGCAAAGAGCAATTGTCTGTTCTTATGGATAATACGTCCAGATCTTGTGGATGGCAAATCTGCAGTGCTTCCACCAGAGTTTTTGGAAGAGACAAGCAGTAGAGGGATGTTGGCTAGTTGGTGCCCACAAGAACAAGTTCTAAATCACCCTTCAATTGGAGGATTTCTAACGCATAGTGGATGGAATTCGACAATTGAAAGTATTTCCAGTGGAGTCCCAATGATTTGTTGGCCGTTTTTTGCTGACCAACTAACCAATTGCTGGTCGTGTTGCAACAAGTGGGAGATTGGCATGGAGCTTGACAGTGATGTAAAGAGAGAAGAAGTTTCCAAGCTAGTCATTGAGTTGATGAATGGAGACAAAGGGAAAGAGATGAGGAAGAATGCAATCGACTTGAAGAACAAGGCCGAAAAAGCATGTACCTCTCCTTTTGGTTCATCCATTGTTAATTTGGAGAAAGCGATTCATCTGCTACACGGATCTCCAAATAATTAATTATCTGTTTAAGATACATGTGAGTTTATGATTATATTCTCCTATGTACCATTTGTTTGCTCAAAAAGATTGATGTTTTGTTGTTGATGTAATTTCATTCTCTTTCCTTGATCAATCTGCAAGATTAAAACATTAGAGTTCTTACAGTTGATGTGAGTTTGATGTAATATCATTCTCTTGCATCTATAATCCATCACTAGATTGACATATCGTCCATTAAATATATCTACATAGCTTTAATTTTATCACTTTTACCACCTACAACACATTAAACATCTGTTCAATCATAATAATCACTAATTTATTCTGTGTATTGAACATTGAATAATAATTCAAAATTTAACTCCACTCTATATCATCACCAACATTCCATTAAACATGTATTTAATCCTAGTCACCATCTTCAATTTGCAATGTGGATGCCCTAAGTTGAGGAGTTGATTTTAATGATTTGTAACTAAATAGTGTACTCTGTACACTATTTAGTTACAAATCATTAAAATCAACTCCTCAACTTAGGGCATCCACATTGATCTTGACCATATTGAATATGCGTACAAAAAAACTTGGATTGCGTGGACGAATGTAATGAACAGCAAAGCTAAAGACACTACTAGAAAATATGCCTTCAATGACATACGGACTATGCCACATACTCTTTACACCATCTTTACTATCATAAAATGAAATTAAAAGAAATACATATGACCCTTGTTTTTTTGTCTGTAATATTATATTAATTACCTTGTCGTCTTTTAATTCCCCTTTATACATATATAGGCGGCATGCATAGCATCGTCTTTCATTTCCCTCGTCGATCTCTCCGCTATACCAATATCCGGTTCACTTCCGCCATGCGTGCAAATCATGTTTCGTCAAGTAGCTTCTCATCTCCTTGACCTACCACCACTTACTCCGCCACCGCTACCACCACCACCCACCGCCTATTCTCCACCGACGTCACCAATACCGCACCGGGAGATGAAGGGTTTGTTGAGGATCGGAAGAAAGTTGTTCCGAACATAGATCCACCAAAGACACCTCTCGAGTTAATTTGAGATGTTTAAACCTCGTAATATCACCGCTTTGTCCCAATGATCGCTTCCCAGTCAATAAATCTCCGACAATGTTTGACCATTGAAGTCAGGCAGGTTCAATATCTCTGTTTTATTTCTCCAACCCATGAGATGTATCACCACCGCATGAGATGTATCACCACCGCCGGCGACAGCCTATGGCAAATTGACTCTACTGATTTTAGTACTTTAGATTGTTGTTAATTAGCTTTAGAAAATTACAAATTACATATGCAGATTGGTCACATGATCTACTACATTAACCATTCAGCTTTTGTCATCATTTTATAAGACCGACCATTCAACTTAATGGGATATAGAAATCGCATAAGACTCCTGATGTTTGTCACTTCTGTTTCATCTAATGCATATGTTCTAGTTCATCTTACTATAAGTTCTTAATAAGTGTAGTGCATATCTCCAACTTTAATGGGGTTGATATTCACTTCCATATATATCTCTTTTTCTAGGAAGGTTTGAGTAGGGTCTTTATCTTATTGTATTCCCTCTTTATATGAATGGATTTCTTGGTTTGTTTTACCCAATGAAAAATGCGTTATCGTAATAACAAAGTTATTATGGTATAAAGATAAACGATCCAACACTACCAGAATAAAGGCTTTTAATGACATGTGAACTATGACACGGGTTAGATTTATGGAAAACAAAAGAAGGTGCGATAAAAAAATGTCATCTCTCATAAAGTGTGAAGGATTTACGACATGCATTTTTTATTGTGCTAAAATTAGGTGTCATTTTATAATTTTTTAGGGAAGGCGCAATCCTTCTCCTAAGTAGCTAGGAAAATGAAATCCCAAAAATTAGAAAGCCCCGCCTTCCCAAACACCAACTTTGTTTATCCTAAAATATTCATCCTAAAATTCAATGTTAGCCGATGAGATGATCCATGAGATCTTCTGCAACCTCGATTCGAGGTCGAGCAGGGATGCGTGCTCTCACGTCTGCCGGCGTTGCTTGACCCTCGAGGACTTCAGCTGCGACACGATCTGAATCGGTGCCTTTGGTAATCTTGATGCACTCGTTGACCTTCTCGCTCGTCGTTTTCCTAATGTCACAAACGTTTACATCGACGTATGCCTCCCTGTCTCTCTCCTTGTCGATTCTATTTCGTGAGTTCTCTTTCCCTACATCTTACATCTTTTTGTGGAACAAAGTAAGCAACATACCCCATTTTATAGGAATCGAGTCTTGAACTCGTGTTATTGGATCTGAGTATGATGGAGATCAAATATGGTTCATCAGTGGCGTATTACAGACACATTTTAGTTCATAATAAGAGTACAAGTTTTCACACCCACCAACTCTTTGATGTAATTCCTTAACCAATTTTCTCTTTTCATTTGTATATGGATTGATTGGAGTTTAATATGCAAAAATTATGGACCAAGTAAAAGAGCTTAGCCCGAGACTTAGTCTTACACATGCATACCAACGTGCCCTTTTTTATTTCCTTATTCCATGTATTTTCAGTTCTTTCTCTTTTGTATAAATTGAGTTGTACACTCCTTGATTGAATAAGTAGAATACTAATTAGAGCGCCGACTCTTTCTTTTCCCCTTTTCTTTTTTTTTTTTGTTTTACCTTTCACTACTTTACATAAATGGCAGGAATACTATCACTAGCAAACTCCAATTCCCACCAAACCTCATCATGTTTGCCGGTTACACAAAGCTCTATATGGCTTAAAACAAGCCCCACGAGCTTGGTTCACTAAGCTCAAACAGTTCTTTGTTAAACACGGGTTTCATGCTTGCCAATCCGATACTTCTTTGTTTGTTCACCATTCAGCAACCGTCACCATTTACATGCTCGTATACGTTGATGACGTCATTATCACTGGCAATGATGCTTCCGTTGTTGCAAATTTCATTCACAAACTTGATGCCACTTTTGCTCTACGTGACCCTGGCACCCTAAATTATTTTTTGGGTCTCCAAATCAAGACCTCTCCCACCGGCCTTACACTCTCTCAAACTAAATACATTCAAGACATCCTAAATCGAGCCGATATGGCCTCATCTAAATCTATTTCTACCCCCGTTGATCCGGCAATCAAATTACATTGTCATGGTGACCCTTTTACCGTACCCACAAAATACCGCCAAATAGTTGGATCTCTCCAATATGCCACCATCACTCGACCCGACATCTCCTTTGCAGTTAACCAGATTTGCCAATACATGCATGCCCCTACAATCCTTCATTGGCAAGCCGTTAAACACATTCTTTGATATCTGAATGGGACTTTATCTTACTGCCTTCATTTATCTGTCATCACCTCCTCCTCTTTATTTGCTTATTCGGATGCGGGGTGGATGTCCGACTCAGATGACAGTCGATCACAATATGGTTTTGCTATTTTTCATGGATCGAATCTCATAAGCTGGACATCATGAAAACAGAAAGTTGTTGCTCGTTCGAGTATAGTTTCCTATACAAGTGCATAATTATTGTGCCTTAAACAACTAATTTCTGACTTGCGTGCTCCCATCACCGATCCTCCTCTTGTATTGTGTGACAATGCAGGTGCTATTTTCTTAACCAAGAACCCGGTCATAAACACTCGTTCAAAACATATAGCCTTGGATTTTCATTTTGTTCGTGAACAAGTTGAAGATTGTCTTCTCAAAGTCAGCCCGGTCTCTTCCCCGGATCAGCTTGCAGATATCTTTACAAAACCACTCGGAAAATCACGTGTTGCTCATCTTCGCTCCAAGCTTCAAGTCAGACCTGCCCTTGAGCTTGCCGGGGGGTAATACACAAAACTTATGGACCAAGTAAAAGAGCTCAGTCCAAGACTTAGTCTCACACGTGCATACCAACGTGCCCTTTTTTATTTCCTTATTCCATGTATTTTCTGTTCTTTCTCTTTTGTATAAATTTAGCTGTACGTTCCTTAATTGAATAAGCAGAATACAAATTCGTTTTAGAGTCTTGTTTCTTTTTCTTTGTGGATTCATGTGGTCCAATGATTGATTATTTTCTAGATATTTTATACCCATTTACAAGAGTTTTGCCTCCCTTGAAATCATTGAAGGGTTAAGGATAGTTGATGTCAATTGGTTTAAGAAACACTCTTGTTTAATAAAGGGTTATTCACGAATGAACTGGCACCTACAAACTGAGTTCAGCATCCCCTATAGGTTGAGTGGAAGCTTTATGCATTTCTTTTAAGGATTTTACATATGAGCATGTCATTTTCATTTTTTCTGATGTTTACACGGATATACAATTAAACATTATACATACTATTTGTCAATTTTCATGATTGTATCTTTGGCTGAAACTTACAGATCTCAATTTTGGCTAGTACCCTTGGTCGTCTGGATATTAATGTTCCACATTATAAAAAGTATGCTACTTCACTATCTTTCCCCTAATTTATATCACTCGTGAAAGTATGTTGCTATTTTTTAAGTTTAATTATAGGCAGTCCATTTTGATGTAAGTACAGTCAACAAGCTTAGTCTATATGTAACTACGTTTCAAGCTTTTTGATCATAACCATTTATGATTTCTAAACATAAGTATTATATATATATATATATATATATATATATATATATATATATATATATATATATATATCTTCTTATCTGACTTTTGGCAGTTGTCTTTTCTAAATATGCATAAAGATATTAAGATGCAGCCACCAACAAATATGATACTTGTTAAAGAACTGATTCTTTATTTCCACTTTTTTACCATTTGAAGTATTAGTAAATTAATTATATAAGACTCAAAAATAATAAGCAAGGGGGAACAGGTAAAGAAAATTTCAAACTTGACTTAACGTAGTAATATGTAGACTAGATATCTGGATGTAGTAAGAGAAATAAGCAAGGGAAAAAGTAAGAAATTATGATTATATATGTAACCTCCAGCTTTGTTTAATTTAAATTTTAAGTAAATGAGGTCTGGAATCTTGATTTTGATTACCGTTTTCAAAATAATTGATATTTACATTTATGCCACTGCTTTTAATTAGGCAACGTTTGTCCACAAAGGATTTGATGAAACCCGTTGGCTAGGTCTGCAAACTGAAACAGATCAGGTGGGTGATTTTATACTTTTATTCAATTTTATTCGTTTCTGTGTTTGTTTTTATTAAACAAAATGTTGAATTTTTTATTTCTGGATTATTTATTAGGTACTTCGCCATGTATCTCCACTAAGTGAAACTGGAATGCTTGTTGTTGATTATGTGGTAAGTCATAAGTGATAAGTCTCCTACCATTTCTTGCTATTTATAATTTTAACAGTTGTTTATGGGCTGATGCTTACATGGACATATGATGTATGTGCCAGGTGGCCCTGCTTATAAACTTTTAGAGCCAGGTAATGTACTTGTTTTCATGAATGGTAAGGTATGTATGTATAAAATATAAATATCGCCATATTTCATACCAACAAATATAAATTTATCAATTGTTAATGAATTAAACAATTGTGTTGCAGGTGACTACTCAGTTTCTGAAAATGGAGAGTTTACTTGATGATAGTGTTGGCCAAAATATGGATTTGCAGTTTGAAAGGGGTGGCACACCTTTGACTGTTCAATTAAGGGTAATTAAGTCAAAATACTATTTGTCTATATTCTCTTCATGAATCATGCTAAGATGTTTTAAAAGTCAAAATACTAGTCAATGTTACTAGTTCTCCATATCTTATTGTTATCTTCTTGAGGTGGAAGAATTACACTCTATAACTCCAGACCACTTCTTGGAAGTTAGTGGTACATTATCAACAAGTTGGAAAACTTTTCTTTTAGGCATTGTACTTTACTACTTTAAGATCATAGCTTTTTAAACATCAATCATTCTTAACATGCTAGGAATTTTTGTTTGTATATGTATTATAACCCCAGTAAATTAAGTTAAGTTGTTTAATCAAATCCCATTAGTAAACTTTCTTTAATATGATAGCTTT